TCAGAACTGGCGGTCAGTTTCAGCAGTGGCTGAATCTGGACGCCAGTTCCGACTTACATACAGATTCAACTTAAGAACAAACCTACAGTCCCTATCTTGTACGTAACCCTGGGACTGCCTGTATTCTGAATGCTGCTTTCAAAATGAATATAAATCAGCAAAGCCAAATTCTTCTATTTGAGGTCAAGTTCACATTTCACTTTAGTTGACACAATCTGAATGTGAACTTCCCCTACTAGTTAGGCAATCCGACTTACATACAGATTCAACTTAAGAACAAACCTACAGTCCCTATCTTGTACGTAACCCTGGGACTGCCTGTATTCTGAATGCTGCTTTCAAAATGAATATAAATCAGCAAAGCCAAATTCTTCTATTTGAGGTCAAGTTCACATTTCACTTTAGTTGACACAATCTGAATGTGAACTTCCCCTACTAGTTAGGCAAGATACTGTAACCTTAATTTTCTTGTTAATTTGGTGTTCTGTCTTTCAGAAAACAAATGAAAGCTGTAATGCATCAATTGCTGAACTCACAGACCAAATTAACAGACAGACAGCTGCTGAACAAAGCTCACTGAATAGCCTCCTTGATCATATTGAAGATGCTAAAGAGATGTTCCTGGAGCAAAAACTGATACTCCATGAGGAAACACAGTGTGGATTGACTGAGGTTAATGCTTTCCTGCAGGAGGAACTTAAAGTGGATATTCCAACAGGTATTCACAGCAAGGGATAAAAAGCAGAATGATTTCATAGGGGAATGGTTTTATAGCAAGTTACTTCAGTACAGAGTTCATAAGAGAAAGCTGATGGGAACATGAAGTAATTGATAGTCTTGGATTTTTTTTTTAATGTGGACAAGAAAGTCTACAGAGAATGCTTTCTCTATTTCATTTAACATGAAATCGGAGATATAATTAGAGTGAAAGCTGGAAGTGTTTAATAATTACATTCATTTTTACATCAACTTTATTCAAGGGACAACTCCACAGAGAAAAGACTACTTATATCCAGTGACTCTTGTGAGAACAGAACCTCGTGACTTGCTGCTTGAGCAATTGAGACGGCAGCAACCAGAACTCATGGCTACATTAAATAGTGCTATCAAGGAGATAGAAGAGTGTGTGGATCAGGTAAACGTGAGATGGTATAAACATAAAGCTTCATTTTGTAACCACTTATCCAGAAGGTATGGAATTTAATGAATAGTACAACACTTGGGTGGTGTTTCAGTGTAACTGTAAACATGGATTTCTGGAAGCTTTTACATTTTGCATAGCACTCATCTTTTTACAATGTGAGTGTTAATGCAAACCTCAAAAAATGCATGATAGAATAAAACAAAGTCTTATGTTGAAAAGATCTCTTGCTTGATAGTTTTTCATATAAAGATCTATAATCTCAAAAAATGATGCTGTGTACTTTAAGGATTGGAACAAATGATTGTAAATCTCCTATAAATTTAGCCATTCATGTAAACTGGAAACTTTTATGGTTTTAGGACTCATTGGAGGAAGAAGGGATAGTACAGGAACTTAATGGAAGTATCTTCAGTGACAAATCTTCCCTAGACACAAGTGTGTGCTGTCAAACAAATGGAGGTGTTCCCTTTTTCCAGGTAATTTCTACAAATGATTGCAGACAGGTTTGGATTTCACCAGAAGGCAGAGTGGAGTAACTGTCTTCTACAGGTTGGACCTCCCTGGTCCAGCACCCTCGGGGCCTGACAGTTACCGGATGAGGGATTTTGTCAGTCCTGGGGAGGTCATTTCTGGACCCTGACACTGCCTGCCTGCTCACTTCCCCACTGGCTCCTCACCTCCTGCTGGCCCCACTGCCTTTTTGATCTCATTGGGCAGCTATTGCTGCAGTGGTTCTGGGACCCACTGGGTAGCCGTGCCCTCCGGAGCTCTCAGACCCGCTGGGCAGCTCCGTGCACGGCACACCGGGTGGCCCTACCATCAGTTCACTTTGGGCAGCCCTCTACCCTGCCAGCCCTGCAGGGATTCATGCCATTGGCTCTCCACCAGGGCTTCCTGGTTCTGCAACATCTGTACCAGACCATGGATGTTGCCGGACCAGAGAATCCTGGTTAAGAGAGTTTCAACCCATATAGTAGGATCAGAAGTAGTTAAATAACATGCCTTTTAATAGCATTTGTGTAGCATTGTCAGTATGGGTTTGTGATCAGTCTTAGTCCCTCACAATATCAATTTGAGGCCATAAATATCTTGATTTAAAGAAGCAGCCAATAAATTCCTTCCTTACCTTGAGGGGTTTTTCCCCAGCAAACTGAGCTGAAAGTAAGGGGTTTTTTTCAAATTTGAAGGCAGCGCAGGGAAACATCAACTCATATTTTAACATGAGACTGCTCAGCATCTCCCCTAATGGCTTTGCAACAGATTAGTACTCCCATCTGGGGATGGAACTGGTGAACTTTGTTTTGTTTATTTTTTATTTTATGATAGTTAGCCTCTGGGCACTTCTTGGTAAAGTATTCAGAGCTGCTCTGATTTCACCTAGGATTGCTTTTGGATAGCTAAAGGATGGACAGTTTTCAAAGGCTTTCTACTATCTAATTATAAGATCTCCTTTAAGATACTGAGGTCCTTGTTGTGGGAAGATGAGTTGCAAAACCTCACTGATCTTTTTGGCTAATCTGGTCATAAATCACTGAAGCACTCCAGGGTTTAAATACGTGCCATGCTGAACATAGCCTCTCCATTTTGGAAACTAAACAGGCAATCTTCCAGGCTGTCCATAAAGACTATTTTATATATTGTAAATGTACATATATTTCAATGAGGGAGATGAAATTTTCTAAGGATTTGTTTGATATATCCTTGAACACCTAATAGTATGTGTGTACTTCACCTTATTTGGGCCTAAAGAACTAAGCTTACTCCTGGGGAAATTCTGCACCAAAAATTAAATTCTTCACACAATACTTCATATTTTGTCAGAACAACACAGTAAAATTGCCAGTTTCAAAAACTTAGATTATTTATTTTAAAATATTTGTCTGTACATATGTCTAACAATAAGAATATAAGAACAGACATACTGGGTCAGACCAAAGGTCCATCTAGCCCAGTGTCCTGTCTTCTAACAGATGCCCCAGCGGGAGTGAACAGAACAGGGAATGGTCAAGCAATCCCTCTCCTGTCACCTGTTCCCAGCCTCCCACAGAGGCTAGGCCCTAGGGACACCATTCCTACCCATCCTGGCTAATAGCCATTGATGGACATAAACTCCATGAATTTATCTAGTTCCTTCTTGAACCCTGTTAGGCTACGTCTATGATGCAGACCTATTTCACATCTTTTGAGCATGCCCTTTATTTCAAAATATATTCTTTTTATTCTGACATCCCTGTAAACCTCATTCCGCAAGGAGTAAGGGACATTTTGGAACAGCAATTTACGTTGAAATAAGAGCTGTGTAGACAGCATCAAATTTTGAAATAAGCTACACAATTTGCATAGCTCAAATTGTGTAGCTTATTTCAAGCTCCAGATGCAGTGTAGACGTACCCTTAAAGTCCTGGTCTTCACAGCGTCTTCTAGCAAGGAGTTCCACAGCCCGTCCATCCACTGTGAAGAAAAACTTCCTTTTGTTTGTTTTAAACCTGTCACCTGTTAATTTCATTTGGTTACCTCTACTACTTATATTATGAGAACAGTAATTTTTTCTTATTCCCTTTTTCCACACCAGTCATGATTTTATAGACCATATCTTCGCGCCCTCCTGCCCCCAAGTCTTTTTTCTTAGCTGAAAAGTCCTAGTCATTCTAATCTCTCTTCATATGGCACCTGTTTCAAACCCCTAATCATTTTTGTTGCCCTTTTCTAAACCTTTTCCAATGCCAGTATATCTTTTTGAGATGAGGCGACCTCTATATGCAGTGTTCAAGATGTGGGCATACCATGGTTTTATATAAAGGCAATAAGATGATCTCTGTCTTATTCTCTATCCCTTTTTTAATGATTCATAACATTGTTTGCTTTTTTTGACTGCCAATGCACACTGTGAGGGTATGTCTAGACTGCATCCCTGTGTCGGCAGAAGGATGCAGATTAGGCAAGTTGATATTGCAAATGAGGCAGGGATTTAAATATCCCGTGCCTAATTTGCATAAAAATGGCCACCACGTTTTGCCAACTCAGCACTTTGTCAGCTAAAAGCAGCAGTCTAGAGGGGGGATCTGTCGAGAAAGAAAGCCTTTTTCAACAGATCCTGTAAGCCTCCTTGGAGGAGGCATAAGGGATCTGCCGGAAAAGGCTTTCTTTCTTGACAGATCCCCCTCTAGACTGCTGCTTTTAGCTGTCAAAGTGCTGAGTTGGCAAAACGTGATGGCCATTTTTATGCAAATTAGGCACGGGATATTTAAATCCCTGCCTCATTTGCAATGTCAACTTACCTAATCTGCATCCCCCTGCTGACAGAGGGATGCAGTCTAGACATAACCTGAGTGTATGTTTTCAGAGAACTAGCCACAATGACTCGAAGATCTCTCTTGAGTAGTTATAGCTAAATTAGTAGTAAATCCCATCATTTTGTATGTGTAGTTGGGATTATTTTTTCCAATGTGCATTACTTTACATTTATTGCCATGAAATTTTGTTTGCTATTTTGTTGCCCTATTACTTAGTTTGGTGAGATCTTTTCGAAGCCCTTCACAGTGTGCCTTGGTCTTAACTATCTTGAGCAGTTTAATATCCTCTGCAAATTTTGCCATCTCACTGTTTACCCCTTTCTACATATCCATTATAAATAGGTTGAACAGGATTGGTACCAGTATAGACCCTTGGGAGATACACTAGTTATCTCTTACCAATTATTCCTACACTTTGTTTCCTGTCTTTTAAACAGTTATCCATCCAGGAGAGGACCTTCTTTCTTATCCCATGACAATTTACTTAACTTAAGACCCTTTGGTGAGGGACCTTGTCAAAGGCTTTCTGGAAATCTAAGTACACTATATCTACTGGATCCCCATTGTCCACATATTTGTTTGACTCCCTCAGAGAACTCTAGTAGATTAGTAAGGCATGATTTCCTTTTACGGAAACCATGTTGACTTCCCCCAACAAATTATGTTCATCTATGTGTCTGATAATTTATTCTTTACTATAGTTTCAACTAATATGCCAAGTACAGATGTTAGATTTACCGGTCTGTAATTGCCAAGATCACCTCTAGAGCCAGTTTTAAATATTGGTGTCACGTTAGTTATCTTCCAGTCATTAGGAGTAGAAGCTGATTTAAAGGACAGGTTATAAACCACAGTTAATAGTTCTGCAGTTTCACATTTGAGTTTTCAGAACTCTTGGGTGATTGCCATTTGGTCCCGGTGACTTGTTGCTGTTAAGCTCATTAGTTTTTTTTTTCCAGAACCTCATCTAATGACACCTCAGTCTGGGACAATTCCTCAGATTTGTCACCTAAAAAGAATGGCTTGGGTTTGGGTAGCTCCCTAACATCCTTAGCTGTGAAGACCGAAGCAAAGAATGTATTTGGTTTCTCCATAACAACCTTATCCTCTTTGAGTGCTCCTTTGGCATCTCAGTTGTCCAGGGGCCCCACTGATTATTTAGCAGGCTTCCTGCTTCTCATGCATTTAAAAAACATTTTGCTATTACTTTGAGTTTTTGGCTAGCTGTTCTTCAAATTCCTTTTTGGCTTTTCTTACTATATTTTGACACTTAATTTGACAGATTATATATTCCTTTCTATTTTCTGTACTAGAATTTAACTTCCACTTTTTAAACAAAGCCTTTTTATCTCTCAGTGCTTCTTTTAGTTTAAGCCACAATGTCACTCTTTTGGTTCTCTTACCATGTTTTTTAATTTGGGGTATACATTTAAGTTGGGCCTCTATTATGGTGTCTTTGAAAAGTTTCCATGCAGTTTGCAAGGATTTTACTTTAGTCACTGTACCTTTTAATTTCTGTTTAACCTCATTTTTGTGTAGTTCCCCTTTCTGAAATTAAATGTCATAGTGTTGGGCTGCTGAGGTGTTTTTCCCACCACAGGGATGTTACATTTTATTACATTATGGTTACTATTTTCAAGTGGTCCAATTATATCTACTCCTTGGATCAAATCTTGTGTGCCATTTTGGATGTAATCAAGAATTGCCTCTTCCCTTATGGGTTCTAGACCAGCTGCTCTAAGAAGCAGTCATTTAAGATATCAAGACATTTTATCTCTGCATCCAAAAAGGTACACAACCAAAAAGATTCCGGCACATGTTTTTTAACAAATAGATTCCTTAGTGGGCATATTCATCCAGAACTTTCAGTAATTCATTTAAACAATACAGAAATGTATTCCTTGCATCCCTCAGAAGCAGTGCAAAGGCCTGGGGGAATCAGGAGAAACAGAGGAGCTGAGGGAGAGGGAAATAATTGGTGGGAAAGAACCTGGGAGTGAATTCAGAGTTGTTGGGTATGGGGGTAGAAGTTTCTTTGGGAAAGAGATTGTTAGGGAGTGGGGAGCCTTTCCAATGCTGGTGGCTGACTCCTAGCCTTTCCTATTCAGTCAGGCACATCTGCCTCTGTCCCCATGTGTCCCTGCACCCCTTCTTGCCTCGTCCTCATTGACCTTGCATTAGGGATATAAATGACTAGTCGACTAGTTGCTTCCTCCCCTCTTGCTGCCTCTATCAAAAAGAGGCAGCGGGGAAGGTGGGGTTCAAAGTGGCAGCACCACGTGGAGCCAAGGGTCAGCTGGGGACTCTTTTCAAAGCAGCAGTGCCGCTGGATCCCGGAGTCAGCTGCTGACCCTAGGCTCCATATGGTGGTGCTGCTGCTTTGAAAAGTCGCAGAGAGCACTTTCACCCTGGGGCTGTTGCTACGCTTCAAAGGCGGAGGTGCCCTTATCAACTAATAAAATAGTCAATGCAAATTGCATTGATTATTCAATTAGCCAATTAATCCAAATTTAACATCCCTGCCTAACATCCCCATTTTATTTTCCCCCATCCCTATGTGGTACTGCACCCCTTGCTCCCATTCAGCCCCCACCAATCTATCTTCCCCCACTAACACTTCTGAACCCCAGTCTGTGACCACCAGCAGCTTCATGTACCCTGTTCTGTCTGTGCATTCCCTCCCTCCTGAGCCTCATCTGGCCGCACTGGCAGGGCTCTTAAGGACTGCAGTCTCATCCCTATCTGCTACTGACTGCTATGGCCAGCTGCTCTCTGTTCTGGCTCCACAGCAACCCCTGCTGGATTAACAGTGTAATTTTAGTGCTTTCTCACAACTGTGTTTTCCACAAAGAAGAAAAAATCTGCAGAGGAAATGAATTCTGTCCAATGCAGTGGTGCAAAATTCCTTCAGGAGTAACTTACCAGAAACCTAAAAGTTGCACTTAAGTTTACCGACAAGAATCAGATTTAAATCTAACTGCACAACCTCTGTGGAATAGTAATTGTTGGTTTGCTTTCATTAGTAATAAGTGTGCTGTTTATAAACTTGTCTCTTTGCAGCCATGGGTACCCTCTCACTAACTATGTTAAAAGCAATCTTTAAAAGAAATTACTTCCAACAAATTAGTTCTTAGATACGTTCAGGCATTCCTAAAGGTGTTGTCTTTTTGGTTTTAAGGAAAAAATCTTAATGTCTTAAGTTTCTAAAACTCTTGTATCCTAAAGAACCAAGTGTAATTGTCCTGGGAATTATTCATGCTTTGAGTATTGTGAGCAAAATTACAGGGCAACCTGATAATGGAGAGTAATGTTGCATTTAGCACTGTGTGTAAAGGTGTAATACTAACTGAACTTCTTTAAACCCTGTAGCATAAAAAGAGTGTGAAAAAGGATAATAAAGAGAACAAATCTACAAGCATTTTGGAGAGATCCAAGATGGATGATACTACAGAACAGCCTCTTCCCAAGACTAAGCTTCCTTTAAGAGCACTGAACTAAGCTATTTAATGCAGACCATTACATTTCTAAAACTTACCTCTGATCTTTCTGCTTAGTCTGTTTTCTCAACCATTTTTAGGTGCTGTACATAGTGATATATTGTTGCAAAAATCAAATTTTTCCTGGAAGTTGACCTGTCTTTTTGTCTGAATTGTTTTTATACACTGTAACTCAAACATGCCATTTTCAGACTTTTAAAACTTCAAATTATGGATCTGTATGTTAAATAAAGACTTTTAAAATATAAAGCTTCTAGCTAATTAGTCTCTTTCTATACCCATTTTCCCTTTCTTATAAACCAATAGAACCAACAGATTTAAAGCTACATGGGCAAATGGGATCATGCTTTCTAAATAGGTCACTTCTTCATGTGTTTATTATATTGACTGTAAATATTGGTATCCTGCATTTATGCCTGCCTTATTTTGTCTCTTGTTGTACCTGAACATCCAGCAGGACCATGGATGTTCTTGGACCACAGAGCCCAGGTATAGGCAGGTGGGGGCACGGGGTAGGAGTGTGGGGTGGGAAGGTGGGCAGGGACTCAGCTGGGAGCACCATGTTGAAGGAAGATAGCCATGGAGTTCTGCTACCACTTGGCCGCAGGGCCAGAGGCCCGGCAGCCTCAGCTGCAGAGCTCAGGGGCCAGCAACAGCAGCCAGAGAGCTCCGGCCCCAGCGGCAGTTGAGGAGTTTTGGTCCTGGCTGTAGAACCACAGACAGGTAGGCAGCAGTGGAGCCAGGTTGGAGCCCTAGCCCAGGGCAGCATGGGCCATGTTGGAAGACGGGACCTCTCCTGGTCTGGCAAATCCCCTTGTTCAAGACCAGTCAGGTCCTGAGGGTGCCGGATGAGGAGGTCCAAACTATAGTAATCTCAAAATTAAGAATGAGGCAGTACACATCTCAAAGCTATTGCTTCAAGCTAGCCACAGACTTAGGAAGATGCTGCCCTCATTTACACTTGGGACAGATTTCCAAGGTTTCCCTCAACCAAGAGGGCTAAAAGCATAGAATAGACCTGAGAATAGAATGGCCATGAACTAGTGGGCTCTGGTTATTTTTATCTTTATGTAATTGTATTTTCTTCCACTAGATGTCTGCCACTACTTATCTAGTGGAGAGGGGAGGAAGGCATGGAGTTGCTGTTTCCATTAACTACTGCAAATTTCTTAGGCTGGAACATCTGTCATAGTTCTAATGTATGTCAATGCAGTGGCAATTTACAATTTAATGTCTGGATTTGGACTTTATTGTAGCATCTTAAGTAGCATAACTAGAAATTCCATTTGGGGAAACTGAGTTTGATTGCCAATTTCTAGCGATTCTTCTAAATAGCCACACTAAATATCTATATGCAAACTACTGTCTCATGCTTTGCTGCAGCACTAACATTCATTCACATGCTTGTGACTGCTATTTCTGCCTTTACTGACATACTGATTTTGCTGACATACAAACAAGGACTCAAATGATGGCAATGCTTGTTTGTGTTAACAGGTGTATAAAACACTTTTAGAGGTTGAAAGCAGGAGAAAACAATACTTAAAATAGGCATTATAGTTTTTCACCAGCAGTAGCTGAAATAATATTTAAAAGCTTTAGTATCAAAATACTTCAATGAGGGTATGCCTACACAGCAACATTATTTTGAAATAATGTCAAAATACTGTCAAGCTGGAGGACTTCTTACTCTGACTCCTGTAACCCTCACTGTATGAGGAGTAAGGGAAGTTGGAAGAAGAGTGCTCTATTTTGAAATAAGTGCTGTGTAGATGCTCCCAATTTTGAAATAAGCTATGCAATTGATGTAGCTCAATTTGCTTAGCATACTTTGAGCTAGGGTGTGACTACAGAGCAGGGCTTAAGACAGTTTCCTATTCAAACTAAAGGAATGAACATAAGTGATTTAAGAGCCCAACACTGCTTATAGAAGTCCTAGATCTTGGTGAAGTAGCACTAGATAACAAAAAGCCTTGTCCTCTTTTTACTACCATATGTACATTCCCAATAATAAAAATAAACGTTATTCTCTGTACATGATGCAAGGTAATAAAAGATCATTAAAAGGAAAGAGTATTTTTTTCATGGTGAATGTGTCAAGAAGGGAAGCAATATGTAAGCAACCAGCAACTGAATTCATAATGGAACTAACAACAAGGGGAGTGTAGTCTTCCAATAAAAGAGCAGCAAGCTATTAACCCTGCCTGGAGGAGTCTCATTGGCCATGATGGAAAATTTCAGTGGAGTTGGAGATGTTTTTAAAAAAGACTCTGGTTGACCAATTTGGCCTCCAATGATGTTACATTTATACAACTGGGATATTGTCTGTGATTTAAATGAACTCTTATATGCAGTAGTGGCTGGTAAGGAAGGAATAATGAGGGCAATGCTCCACTGGTTAAATCTTCTGTTTTTTCTTTAAACTCTGTGGCAGATGACTTTCCCCTCTTTTTTCCAGCAGTGCACTGGAAAATGTTGCTGCTGGTTGTCCCTAGCATAACAGCACCATAGAGTGCACTCAGGATGGTGGGTCTAGAACAGGGGTGTCCAAACTTTTTTCAAAGAGGGCCAGATTTGATGAAGTGAACATGCGTGAGGGCCGACCATTTTGCCTGACATTCTTTGAACCATTAAAATTAAATGCAAATTAACTATTTTATGCAAAGTTTATTGCAAGCGGCATACTTTTCATTTCGTCACATGGATGACAAATCTAAACAGATGTTAAATCACTCTGCCTTTCATATCTGAAGGCCAGATGAAAAAAAAATCCAGGAAGCTGAAATATGTCAGGAACATTGTAAAGTACATTATATATTATTGGTAATAAAGGTTGTCTGTCAACTTTTAAGTTAAAAAAAATATGAACAGGAACATAACACCAAGTATACATGTTGTGTCCAAATATATTTATAACTGATTTAGACCAACTGACATTAACTGAGATTTTACAATGTATTCATCTCAATACATATGGATTCGTTGGGGGCCATAAAAAATAGATATTGCCAAATTACCTGTGGGGCCGTATTAAACCGGAACACGGGCCGCAACTGGCCTGTGGGCCGGACTTTGGACATGCCTGGTCTAGAAGTTTCTAGCTCCTTTCTTTATTGAAAATATAGTGCAATGCTGTGATCAGCATGTGTTTGTAGGTGCTTTCTCTGAATCAAAGTAGCCTGAGATTTCCATTGGGAGTGCAGAACTCCACTACCCTACCACAAGAACAACATGAAGGAATGCAAATTGAGAAGTTGAAGAAACTGTCTAGCTTATGATTTCAAGGAGACAACAGGCTTGTCATCTGATGTAAAATGGAAGCTGCAGGTTTTTTTACTTGTTTATGTAAATTGTGTGTGGGGGGGGGACCCAGAAGGAGATAGGGAGCACAGCAGCTGAGCACTCTGTGTGGGTGTGTTTCCATGCAGGAGAGGCTACCTGCTCATGTTTTAAAGTGGGAATTTCAGTACTGAAGCAAGGTTAATTTACTGGGGGAGAGAAAAGAATTAAATTGGTTGGTTGATTTTTGGCAGATCAAAAATGACTGGGGCTTCCCAATTATACTGCCTGCCATCCAACATATTTGTTAAATAGGTAGGGGGAAATGAGGAAAGCTTAGAACATTAAAATGCTGTTTCCCTCAAAAAGGCATGAGATGAGGAATACAAGTGGTTTGGGACACCTTAAAAATAAAAAGGTAGAAAAAGATTAACAAATATTCTTAACTATATTTTTTTCTTTTTCAGTTAAAAGGTTGGCCCCAAAAGTAAGGCACAATATAATTTAAAATTGCAAAAATTTCTCAGTGCATGAGAACCCGAAAGGGAAAAATTTCTCAGTGCATGAGACCTGCAAGGGAAAAATTTTCTCCAGAGAATCAATGTAGGAAAATATCTAGTCTCTTGTCACTGATTAATAGTCTAAGGCCAAAAGGGATCGTTGTTATCCTCTAGTCTGATCTGTATAACACAAGACCATAGAACTTCCCCAAAATACTTTGTAGAGCATATCTTTTAGAAAAACATCCAATCTTGATTTTAAAATGGTCACTGATGGAAAATCCACCATGACCCTTAATAATAATTAAAATAGTTGTCATTTTTCAAATTGAGAGATGCAAAAATTAAACATGGTAAAATATGTTTTTAAAATCCAGATTTAATCATTTAAGATGTTTTAGTAATTAAAGTTATTTAATTTTAACCTAGCCATGTGCCTGTAACATAGATGATACTGGTAGACTAAACATATCATTTATTTATGGTCAGAATTGTATTTTTTTTTACAGTTTATTTTATTTTTAACATTTATTTTAAATCAAAGAAATCTGTTCTGCAGTTCACCACAAAAAAAAATCTGCAACTTGGAAAATAAAATTTAGGAAATATTCATGTTCCTAGGAATTTATCATATATTTTAAAAATAAAGCTTATGCTATAGAAATTACTGCAGCACCTCAGTTTTCACTCAATAATAATAAATAGCACTTCATAGGGCTGATTTCCCCATGGTTTTACGCTGGAATGATGCCACTAAAGTCAGTTAACTCGTACCAAGCTAATAGATTGGAAGATTAGGCCATATTCTTCAATGTTTTACAAATTTAACACTTATTTTTTATTCCACTGTAAGGAATCTAAAGAAACCAGAGTCCTGTCTGTTCCATATGGACACTAAAGATCCAATGGCACTTGGGAGGACTTGGCTTACAGTTCTTAGTTGATATTTCCTCTTTTCCCCAGTTCTGTGTAATGTGCTTTTTTGTTGCCACCCTTCACCCCAGTGGTGACTGCTTTTCAGTGGTATCCATATCCTGCAGTTTGTAAAGTGACTTTGGGTCCCCTCAAGGTAAATATAATTATTTAATTGTTTTGTGTTTTTGTTTTTGTTTGGTTTGGTTTGGTTAAAGACCCATTGAAATAATTGGAAAGATTCTCATTGACTTCAATGGGCCTTTAAAAAAAGTGATCGGTATGGAATCTTTTTGCATCAAAGAAAGTGTTAAACTCCTAAATCTACAGTAAGATCACCCTGTAATTCACTAGCTGGACAAACTAGCTTTGAGCGCATAACCTTGTTGAATTCAAGTATCCACTTTCATTGTAATAAATGGAACCCCTTACCCTTGACATCTTGATCATGACGGGAATCTCAGAGTAATGACTGAAATAACCACTGTTCTGTGTAAAAATTATTTTGGGAAAATGATTGTTCACCTCCCATATAACTTCTGCTAGTATCAATAGAAC